GGGAGTGGTGTCCCTCTATTATTAAAATATTCTCTTGTCAGAAGTTTCTTTAATATGAAGCATGTTCACTTTGTTTACCCTTACAGTGATCATAGAGTGAAGATGTAGAGGGTCTTGTTCTTTTTAAAAAGTCTTCAACATCTTCCCCAATTTTGTCTTTTCTGGGATATCTTATATTTTAATTGTTGCTATACATCAACACATATCCTAATGTATTGAAAACTCAGTAGAGAGTGGATCATAATCTAAATCTTGTTTTCTCAGTGATGCATAAGGAACGTATGACCAGGTTTTTAATACTGTTTTATGGTCAGATCATTTCCTAGTAACATTTTCAGCCTATTGAGATAATGGTGCTCAGAGTCTCAGATGAAAAGATTTATATTAGTCCTTGGAGTTTTATTATCATCACTGTAGCCTTTAGTTGTTTTCATGAAAGACGCACAAGACAACCACCGTATCTTCTGCTAAAAGCAGCTGTCATTAACTAGACAGAAAGTAGCTACTGAGAATGTATTAGTAATGCTAGCATAATACAAGTGAGATGATGCAGAAGAAAAGCATTTTGCTGCTCTTGTGTTGCTATAGTGCTTTACAACTTCCAAACTTTTCAAATTTAAAATAATTTCGAGCCCATATTAAGTTTGATAGTATTGTAAGTATTTTTATATGTTTGAATGATTAAAATCCAAATAAGTGAATGAGAACTACTTTGATTAAGCCTCTGGCCTAGGAAAGGGGAAACCTAGTCCTCCCTTTGGCATCCTGAAAATCCTCCTGGTCATCTTCTACAATATCAACAGTCATAGTGTCCTGGAGCAAAAGTCAAAAATTAGTATTAGCTCTTTAATAATTCCAATCATACTAGAATGGATTAGATGGAAGTGCTATTGGGATACAGTAAGGCATGGGGTTCAGTTTTGTCTCCTATACTATTTAACACGAATTGAGAGTAACATGACATTTTTTCCCATTTTCATCTAATTCAAACAAAGTAATGAAAATCCTGAACCAATTTCTAATATAAGCCTTAGATAAGAAGCGAACTTCCCTCTCGAAAGGGTCTACCTCCCCATCAGAATTAAGTTTGCAGTATGAAATTAAGTCCAGTCTCGTTTGTAGCACATACAATTTCAATGACACATCATTAACTCAGGCTGGTATGCCACTAGGAAGCTGTCCTCAATGGAAAAAGCTTGGCCACAATCATGTATCCAACTCATGATGGAGTCAGTCACTTTAATGCAATAAACATTGCATTCTTTTTATATTAAATATGGACCAACCTTGTAAATTTCCTTTAATTCAAAATATTGCAACAAGATTATAACATGGAACTGATATAAATGATGTACTGACTTCTGAGCACCTTTCACAATGCTGGCTCAAACTGTTCATAGGGTTGAAGAATTCTCTCTCTTACCTGAACATGCAGGCACAATTCTTTTTTGGATGCCTTTTATTGGGTGTCTTTGACATGGAGTGATTGATGGACAATGATGTAGTATCCCCCAATAAGACTTCCATATTTGCTCTATTTAATGACTAGTTTGGGTAATGAAATGTCTGCAAGAAAACCACCAAGCTCAGAGAACACCAAGGAACTCCCATTTCAACCCTCAGCTCCAAATATTCTCCCTTATCAGTAGTAAATAAGATTGCCTGGTTCGCAAAGTTCAGAATTTCCAAAGCACATTTGCAACTAATATACTGCCATTCTGTTTCCAAAACCTGTATGTTTATAGGATTCACAAACACAATGGATTAAGTATAATGTGGGGAAATATGGAACAATTTCATTTGTAATGAACATGATCCACATTGTTGTCTGAAAAATTGTTACTGCCCATTTAATTTCAAAGTTTTCTCTGCAACTTTAAAAGGATAAAAATCGGAACACTTTTTTCTTCCCTGATTCATAAAAAAAATAGTGACAGGATATATTAACAGTACTATATATGTGTGTATATTTTTTTTCATGTTCAAACACGACAGTTTTATTTTAATGCAGATAATAAGGTTTGTCTAACACATTGCCATTTTATTCCAGATGACAGTACCTATACCAGGATCACAACTTTCTTTGCCCAACTTTGGATCAGCAGGCCAGCCTTTAATTGCTCTTCCACAATCCCTTCAACCTCCTTTACAGCACACTCCACCACAACCTCAGGCTCAAAGCCTGAGTCGGCCAACACAAGTGGGTCAGCCTTTCAGAGGACTAATTCCAGCTGGCACTCAGCACAGCATTATAACGGGAAAGGTAAAGATGTTTGTGTTAATCTTGCTGTACGATAGCACAGAGGTTCCCAAACTTTTATAGTTTCTCAGCACTTTAGCAGTTCTCAAACTCCACACTAGGGTGCTGCAACAAACTCACAATTCCATTATATAGTAAAATATCCCTGCAGCTTGCTGCAACATTCAGGGAACCATAGCACATGGTTTGGGAACTACAATGATGATAGATAGTGAACACTAACAATGATTAAATTAATTTGAATAAGTAGGTAATGTATTATACTTTAATTCCCAGTGACTGTTTCAATGGTGGTTATTCCCACCCCCTGTCCCTTCCTAAAAACTTAACTCTGCCTGTCTAAAATATAAAGACTATGTAAATCAATCATTAACTACTTTGTTCAGTACTTTGTTACGTAAGGATGTACATCAATTTTTATTGCCATTTTAGTAAAGGACTTATAAACTTCCTCTAGTTGAATGAGTATGACCTGATAAACCTATCAGTATTTTATTTTGTACTGTAAATAACCTTGCTGTTTGTCTTCAGATGTCAGAAATGGATTTGAAGGCTTTTGGAAGTGGCATTGATAAGCCAGGCACACCTCCAGTTTCTGGACGAAGCACCACCCCAACTTCTAGCCCTTTCCGGTAAACAAGTATTTTCAAACAAGTCAACTTTACAGATTGTGATGGAGAGAAAAGAGGGGAAATTTAGTATTGAACTAAACTTTAATATAGCAGTGCCATTTTGAGAACAGAAATAGAATACAAGAATTCTGGATGAATAAGGTTGATAATTCGAAGAAATATTTGACTTTATTTTTAACATAACTTTCCCCATGTCCTCCATGGATAAAAAGAACTACTACTTCCAAAAATCCTAGCTAGCACAAGGCCAAAAAAGAATTTCAGAAACAGAAGACAAAAAGCTTTTAAGAAAAACCATAAGAATTTCTTTAAACCCAGAATTCTAAGCAGAGAACTGGGCAGGAAAGCAAGTGTACTGATAGAGGAATAAAAATAGCATATGGGGTGCAAAGAAACCAAATTAGGCTTGGTTTTTTTACCTACTGTCTTTACTACTAAGATTAAAAGTGAGATATGTGACCCTGGATTGACTTTTTCAGAGATGCAAACTGAGGTAATAAAGGTATTTTAGGGCATATTGAGATGCAACCACACATCATTGGGCCTGAGGGCATCAACCCAGGAATACTTAAGGAACTCAAAGGAGAGAACACGAAACTTCTAGCAGAACTATGTAACTTGTCCTTCACATTGACCTTAGTACACAGAACTGGAAGATAGTCAATATGATATCATTTTTTAAAGAGTCATAGGAAATTATAGGGCAGTCATCCTAACATCTGTTGTGTGCAGATAGATATGAGTGGTAATGAAAAAGGGACATATTGCAGCAAAAATCACAATGTCAAATTTTTCCTCACCAACTTTCTAGGCATTTTAGGAATGTAAATAGGCACATTAATCAAAGTAATGCTGTCAAGTTTGTATATTCGATCATTTTTTTAAAAATCTGGCATTTTTCTTCAAAAGCTCCTGAATATACTTAGTGGGCATGAGATAAGATGATCTATTATTTTGTGGATTGCAGACTTATTTTTTAAATAGTAAATAGTTGGAATAAGTAAGCAGTGCTCTTAGTGGAAGGAAATGAGTGGTGTCTCTCAAGGATCTATGTTGGTACTTGTGCTTTTTAAATTGTTCAGAAATTTTCTTGACTTAATGTGGTAGAAAACAAAGTGAGAGTAAAGAGCTCTAAAAGGGTCTCTTTGGTTAGCCAAATGGCAAGTTCAGTTCCATTTGCACTGGTGGAATCTGACACTCATGGGAAAGCTCAGTGAAGATGTCAACTCAAGTATACAGTAGTTGCAGAAAAAGGGCCAGTGCTATGCTGGAGAGCATTAGGAGGAGTATTGAAAATAAAGCTGTCAACATTCTAATGCCATTACAAACATCTATGGTAAGTTTCAGTTAAATACTGAATGAATTTCTGATTGCCACATTTGAAGAAAAATAAAATAGAACTGAAAAGTTGCTGAAGAGGGCAACCAAAATTATTGGAGGTCTGTGTTAAGAGAAAGAACAGGATTTTTGAGGCTTAAAAAAATGGCATCTGGTGTAGAACATAAATATGATCAAGGTGCGTGGTATTAGGATCATAAGACATCAATAAAGTGGAAGGAGATTTAGAACAGACAGAATATATTTTTCATGGTGCTCATGTTTGGCCTGTGGAATTTATTGGTACGAGATTGATGACCGTACATGCTTGCCGCTTCTTGTGCTTGTTATGCCCATCTCCCCACCCCCACCCCGGGCTTGTTTTTGGGGGTAACACTAAAAAAAATCAGCCTAGGCTGATTTTTGGGGAAACACTGTATTTGTCAATTGAAAAGGGACATATGTTTGAAAAGACAATATTATTTTGCAGAAAATAAAACAGTGTTAGATTAATGTCCAATTTACTGTTATATTACCAGTTATATGAGCCACAGTGGTGCAGTGGTTAAAATACCACTGCGGACTACTTTTGCTGACTACAGCTGCCTATAATTTTGGCAGTTCAAATCTCATCAGGCTCAAGGTTGACTTAGCCTGTCACTTATATTTTATATAGCTAAGTCTCCCTTGATTAAAATTTGACTGATGATAATAGCATGGTAACCTTCTGGTTACTTTCTTGGCTATATGGCAGAATTGGCTTGTCATTTGCCTTCTGGAATGTATGTGTCATCCTAGTACTAACCATGGCTTTTCAGTTATAAAGGTGACTATGCTGTGTCTATATACAGGTAGACCTCGACTTACAACAATTCATTTAGTGACCATTCAAAGTTACAACAGCAATGAAAACAGTGATTTATGGTGTGTTTTTCACTTATATCTGTTGTAGCATCCCCCAGAGTCACGTAATCAAAATTTCAATGCTTGGCAACTGGCTCATATTTCCAAAGGTTGCAGGGTGCCAGGGTCATGCAATCATTTTTTGCAACCTTCTAACAAAGTCAGTGGGAAAGCCATATTCACTTAACAACCGTGTTACTAACTTAATAACTGCAGTGATTCATTCAACAATTGTGATAAGAAAGGTCGTAAAATGGGGCAACATTCACTTAACAGATGATTTGCTTAGTAACAAAATTCTGGGCTCAGTTGTCGTAAGATGGGGACTACCTATAATCATAATATTTTTGGTTGAATTCCAAATATTACATAGATGAAACAATTACTGAACATCTCTTATTTAGGAATTTTATTGACTAAGTTGATCTGGACAATTTTGTTAGCCCTTGTGTTATGCTACGTTCTAATTTTTACAGGAGTCTATAAACAAGTGAAAATAGAAAAGCCACTACTTTTGAAAACCAACAAGTATCTTGCCAACATTTGAAAAACAGAAAGCAGATAAAAGAAGTGCAAGAAGTGGGAAACTGACTTCCAAAGATGTCCTTATATCTCTATGAGAAGATTACCCTTGTAGAATAATTCTTTCATGCCACATTGCAAACTGCTTTTTGATACAAATTTTAATTTACAAAAACAGCTATCTAGTAGGGCATTTAGGAAAGTTTTCATTGCATTTACAATTCATTAGATTCTGGCCATTGTTACCTGAAGAATTGTATTTTAAAAGCATGCTGAGTTAAATAATGGAAGGGTTGGAGTAGGGTTAGGGTGATATATAGTGTAGAGATTAATATATTTTATATATTAGTTAGAATAAAACCTTATGTCGAATATATGTAGTGGTCGGATTAAGAGTTCTTAATATTTTAATATAACAAGCATCCTAAATATTTGTCATTAATGTTATAAGCAGTTGTGGTATCTTATGAAGTTATTCAAGCTACCCATCTCATACAGATTGCCAAGAAAAAATTAGAAGAGTATAGTAATATACTCTCAAGATCTTTTATTGTATTGGAGGACTTTTCAAAAATATGGGTTGGTTACAGAGTACATTACCTTAGCTTGTCTGGATTGACTTCCTTTATGGAAATCCAGAAACCAAGATTTTTTAGATCTAAAGTCAGTAACTTAATTGTTCAAAAACCCAGTTGTGTCACTCAGAAATACAATGAACATCAAGTACTCTGCTTCTAGTGAGCATCAATAGACTAACACAAAGAAACACAACTTTTAGTTTGAAAACATGCAATAGTTACACATTTATATTCAATGGAATCCAAAAGAATGTATTATTCTCATTATGTGGCTAAAAGTATTAAATGCAATTGTATATGAATCTCATGGTGATGTAGATTATACTGTTAATGCACATTTTGTTGCATAATCTGAAACTATCATTTACTTAATGCATATTTTTCCTCCGGATAAGGTAAAAATATAAAGATTACAAGAATTGATTTCATTTATGATGTATTAACTAACTTAGTGTATTTTGTCTTCAAGGGCCGTCTCTACAAGTCCAAACAGTCAGACCAATAAAATGAACACCATTATTTACCAGAAACAATTCCAGTCAGCAGCTGTGAGAATGACTCAACCATTTCCTCCTCAGTTTGCACCACAGGTGGGCAGCAGCTGGTTTTCTGCACTGGGATGGGATATTCATTAGCTTGATTAAACTAATGAATTTTAAATTAAGACTTCCTGGATCCTGAAATAACTCAGATACTTTATTCAGTATACTTTCCAAATTACAATTAATGTGAGTGTTTTAGTATCAGGAGGAAAGTATTTTGTTTTCAGTTAAATCTGTGCTTGTGAAATTGAGAAATTGGACCGCAAACGGATGACCACAGACTTCCCCACATGGCTCTCATTATAATCCAAGGTTAATCATTTGAAGGGAGAAGGATAAAATAGCCTGTCAGAGAAGGGCTTCATGCAACTGTTTACAACATAACGTACTTGGAATGTCTCCTGTGCAGAAAGAATAGGAATTATCAGAGGGCAAAGGTCTCTTTGCATAACCTCCAACATTTCACTCAGATTGTACAGAAACTCATAGTGATTGTTTAGCCCTTAGTCGGTTACATGAAATGCAGCTGTGAAGTAAATTTCTAAAATAGCTATAGTTGGCAGGAAAAAAAAACCCACACCAATCCCTCTTTAAAAGAATGCAAATGCTGTAAAGCTTCTGATAGGGAGAGATGAGGTGTATACTTTTGACTTGAGACTGCCTTGGATATTGCATATGAAATTTGCAGCTGCTGGATATTGCGTAGAGGCATTAATCTACATTCTAACAGTTCCTGCATCCTGATATATTTGAGGATGCCCTTCTGTTCTCCTCTCTTGGTCCCTGATGTGCTACTACAGTTTTTAAGCACATTATCCTTAAGATTTTCCCATGTTGAATTTCCCAAACACAGCCAACCTTAACAGAAAAAGTGAACCCACTACTTGGCACTGTTAAATAACAGGCATGCTTCCTGCAGAAAAGCCACCATATGATCAGGTTGGCAGTTTGCTAACAGCTAAATGTCTCTCTTTGTTGTTGTTGTTTTTTTCCCCCACTTAGATCCTCTCTCAGCCTAACCTGGTCCCTCCATTGGTAAGAGCCCCACATACTAACACCTTCCCAGCACCTGTTCAGAGGCCGCCAGTGGCACTGGCTAGTCAGATGCCACCTCAGATGACCACAGGTCTTTTGAGCCACCCTCGTTTGCCACATATGGCGAGGGGTCCTTGTGGATCATTCTCTGGAGTCAGAGGCAATCAGGCCCAGGCTGCGATGAAGGCTGAACAAGACATAAAGGTTAGTATTTTTGGATGGCCATGCTGTGTTAACCACAGTACAGTCTTAACAACTTGCAAGGCAAGATACTATTCTTTGTTTAAGATGCAGATTTCCCTCTGAAGTGGCCAAATAGAAATAGCAGAACCCTTCACTAAACTTCCAGCAATAGATTAAGTTCACCTACTTATTTGTAATGCAGTCTAAGATCCGGTCAATTGTATTCATTCTCTGTGTTTTTCTTTCTTCAAGTCTAAAACTCAAGCAAAACCACCCATAGCTGCATTTCACTCCATAAAATTGGTAGCACTTGGAGACTCTTTTCAATGAAACCTTTTTCCCTTAAAATTGAGCTGTTTTGCAAAGTCCATGTGGGGATGTCATAAAAGCAGAAAGAATCTAAAATCAGTGAACTTATGTGGTTGAAAGTGATGGCATCACTTGCTTAATCTTTTCCATTATTTTCATTCATGAAAGAAAGTGTTATTGAGACCACTTAATTTATCAACACAAAAAATCTTCATGTTACCCTGTTTTATCCAAGCCCCAGTTGGTGGGTTTTGAGTTTATAAATTAATCTTAAGTAACTTTTAATTGTATTATGTATGTGCTATTCTGTTTTCAAAACAGCATTGGTTCCTAGGGAAAAGCATAGAATTGTGTATTGTTAGTAAAAAGAACAAAGGGGTTTGGTGGCGCAGTAGTTAGAATGCAGTACTGCAGGCTATTTCTGCTGCCTTCCGGCTGCCTGCAGTTCAGCAGTTCAATTCTCACCAGCTCAAGGATGAGTCAGCCTTGTTGTGGGCAATATGCTGACTCTGCAAACCGCTTAGAGGGGGCTGTAAAGCACAGTGAAGCAGTATATAAGTCCAATTGCTATTGCTAAATGAATGTTAGATTACTAAAACTGGAATAAATACAGTTACTTAGAACCAGTATCATAAATGTGCTAGTTGGCTACACAAGAAAAAGGATACACATTTTGTACCAGGCAAGTTTGCCAAGGGCCCTTTTTGGGAGGGGTTTTGAGTATAAAAAGTTAGAGGCATATTATGGCCCCTAACACTACACACACAAGCTGTAAGCTACTTTCTTTGCCCCGTCTATTCTGAGACCACAAAAGAGCTGTTAAGTATATTTTCTGTGCCTTTTGTACCAAACAATTCCAGACAAATAAAACTTTAAATACTTATTTCAGAGCTTGGTTCATGAGTAGTAGTCTTACTGTCCTTATATTGATATTGAATTTATAGTATCCAAGGGGGAAAACATTTGAAGAAAGTATTAACTTACTGTCTGTGATAAATATCTAGTCACTTTGTGCAGTAAAATGGCTCTTTTCATATTGTATGAAAACCATTTAATATTATATATCTTATCTGGCAATTTAAATTACTATTTGTGATAATAAATAGTACTCAAAATTATCACTGAACCTCCTAATTCTTGTATTACTATTAGTAGAATTTAGATATAAGGGAAACAGTGCTGGTGAGAAATATCAATAGGAGTTGAAGGCCATAGAATGAAAGGCAACTATCATAAGCACATAAAAGAAATTCCCAAAAGATGATACTAGATTCCAGTTTTGAAAAGTATTAGTGGGTTGTTGTTGTTGTTTTTAAAAAAAACAACCTCAATGAGCAGAATAAATATCTATGGTGGTTTTGAGCTGTTTTGTTTAATGTCACAATCCTTTTTCATTAAGGCAAAACAGAGAGCAGAAGTCATTCAGTCAACACAGAGATTTTTCTCTGAGCAGCAGCAGCAGCAGCAGAGCAAGCCACCTGGAGGCAAAATACAGAAAGTGGGTGACAGTGGGAATAAAGCTCCAGAGGCAGTGACAGACTCCACTTCTGGAATCTGTCAAGACAAAGTGGAAGAGAAACAGAATGCTACAACAGCACCCAAGCCTATTAGAACTGGTCCAATCAAACCTCAGGCCATCAAGACAGAAGAAACAAAATCATAAAATGGTGTGTCTGCATACAAATATGAAGAGTGAAATGACAGCCAAACAAACCTTTAGCCCAGAGAGGGCAAAGCATACCTGTTCAAAGCTATGAGTAGCAAAAACAGAAACAGATGTGAGTGCTAAAGATCTGGAATCGGGGGACTTTTCTATGGGACATTTTGTATGCCATTGCATGAATGAATATGATCAATCAGAATTGAAGCACCTGTCTGCTTTTTCAGTGGTGCAAAACTAAATAATGCTCCTGAGGCATTTTGTTAGCCAAAGGTAAACATTCTACTTTTTGCTGCTGATTTGTTTAGAGAAGAAGGGCAGATCGGAGAAGACCATGCTGGGATAGAACGCTGGGTTTGATTTTGGGCTGCTCATGTTGAAATACGATTTTCTTTCAGAATGGAGCAGGAGAATTTATGACCATGAATAAAGTCATAAAGAGCAATTTCCCCCCCCCCCCCCCCACTTTTCCCTACTTCCCATTACACATTATTTCATTTTGTAAATGTTTGATGTCAGATTTCCAAGAAAGGCAGGAGGTGGCTGCTACTACAGTTTGATTATGGTGCTGAATTTAACTGAAAAAAAAATATTAATTGCTTCTCGTGTTAATATAATATCAGAAGGGCAGTTTCGGGAGTCTCCCTTTTATATTGCCAGTTACATTGAGCTACAACGAGACAGTGCTTGAGAAGAAAGCCTTTGGCCTTGAAATGCTTCTCAATTTATGAGTATAAAGCAGCAAGCATTTGATTTTGGGCCACAAAAACAGATATTTATATCAGAGCTGCATCACACTTTCTTTCTGCTCATTGTGCTGGAAAATAGAATCAAGTCAAATAATGCCTTCTTAATTGTATCCTTTAATAGTATAGCTGTAGGAAAAGTACTGTATGATAACTTCTGTGAATGTAAAATATCTCATTCCTGCTTACAATATGTAGTTGTGACTGTGCTATAGCAGAGCTGTAAAATGAAGTTATTCAGACTTTTCAAGTCACTTGGAGGGCACCACATGGCACATCATACCAAACTATTTTCTCTGACAATTTTCCCAACCCCTTTCTGGAACAAAGAATGAATCAAAAACAATGTAATGTGTATAATTTTGTTCAGATGATGGCAAAATCTGGAAAAGTCTGTTGCTGCTATTGATGCCTAGTGAAATGCTGTTGGTTATCTTTTTTATATAAATATTATAATTTGCATTTTTTTGGAAATTTAGCTGTGATGTCAGCTTTGGGGAAAGATATCCACTTGTACTGTGATTTGGCATTGTACAGAAATTAACAGCCATATTGGTCTAGAAAAGTTTAAACTTTTTTTTTCATTTGTACAGGGGTAACGCACTGTATTAAATATGTAAGGTCTTATTTACATGGGTTTGATTACAGAAACTAATAAAATATTCTCTACATAAAATATTGGGTCATGTTTTGTACTTAAATTTTGTCCCAATAAGTCATGAACTTAAAACCCTTGTTTTGGGAAACCATCTCTTTTTCCAATTCTGTTCTTACAAGTCTAATTCCAAAGAGGAGAAACTCAGAAAACTCCCTCGTGTGATAAATCAGAAAATTATGCAGAATTCTAAAGGGATCTTAAAAATGGGCATATAAGCGTACTGAGATCACTTTGGTACAGAAAACATCCCACTTAATTATCCTTGCCTAAAAGGATTTCGGCATGGCATGCAGCACAACCAATTTTGTGTAAGATAGCTTCATAGAGACCCCATCTTTTTTTTTACTTCATTTGACATAGCTGAATTGAATTATGCAATTACCTTTTTAAAAATCTATATCCTAACGTTCAACTAATTCTCAGGACTGAATACCAGTAATAAAAAAATAGAATTGTGGGGAAAATTAAAACACGATAAATCAGAATAGTAAAAAAAATATCAAAGTACAAAAGCATTTAGTGAGACCATATAGGTCAAAAAGTGTTCCGTTTAGTGGTAAAATCTAACCCACTTAAGCAGCAGTTGCACAGTCAGGATTCCAGTCAGTGCTACCACCAAGGCCTTCCTCATAATGGCTGTATTTGTAAAGGGCACTTACTGAATACTTTTAAGTTCACTGGAAGCATGCATACACACAAATTTTTTAGGTATTCCGATTCTTAGGGCATATGAAGAAGTGTTATTTTGGAGCTCATGGCCAAACTTGTACTAATTCACAGAGAAAAAGTAAAAATAGCATCCAGATCCAACACACAAGTTCATGGTTGGAGGTTGACTTTGATGCATTTAGATAGGGGTAAGGTAGCACCTTCGAGCATGTATTGAAACTTCCTGGCACTAACAGACTTTTAATTGGTCTCTTCTTCCATTCCTTGTGTCTGATTTTCAGAGACCGCCTGGACAAACCCCTGCAGTATTCTTGGCAAGGTTTTTTAAAAGTGGTTGCTTCCTCCTTCCTAGAGCTGAGAGAAAGTGACTGGTCCAAGATCTAGTTGGCATTGTGCCTAAGGCAGGACTAGAATTCACGTACTCCTGGTTTCTAGCCTGATGCCATATCCACTACATCAAACTGGTTTAATTGATATTTGGCCACTGTCAGGTATTCCCTCCTATAGTCATGAGACTGTCACTCCAGTCTCTGGAAATCTAATTCCTTGGTTGTGGATAAGGTTGTTTGGAAAAGAAAGTGGAGCATTACATTCACAAGCTCTGTTGAATTAAACAATTGTACTTCTACAGCAGTAGATATTTCTCTGGAACTCTTGTGACATTAGGCATCGGATGTCTGCTAGTAAAAGGGATTGCAAAGCAAGCAAACAGCAGAATAAGTATTTGCCTAGGCACAAAGACCGCTTAGGAACATGATACATACAATGGGGTAACTAAGTCTGAAATTTAGGTGTGAGAGTCTACTATTAAAACTGCATCTGTATATAGGCAAATTAATGAATGGGCAACATGACATGTCTCAAATACACGCAATTCATTGCAACATAATTCCTAGCAAATATCTGCAATTTTAGAAAACCATAGCAAAAGAAAGGTGCTGTCTTGAAGGCCTAGAGGTAACTTATATGTGAGAACCAAGAACTTGTAGATGAGCCTGCCAGAAAAGTGGTCACTGCGGTTTCTTGTTTTCAGCTGAGGAATTGTGAGGCGCAGTATAGATATGTCATGAGAATTGTTTGAATTTCCATTTGTCAAGCAAAGAGTGCTATTAAATTGCATAGTATGACAAATGGCAGAAACCTTAAGGCCCTCCTGAATACTAACATTCTTTCCGTCAAAAGGCAAATTTTAATCAGAAAGCCTTTTGAAGTATTCATGCATATATGATTAAATGATGCTTATATGATAAAGTAAAAAAGAACAAAGCAAAATACTGCACCTCAGTTTGCTGAAAGTTAGATGAGGGTTCGTTAGTTGTAAAGACTTGAACAAATTTATTTGCAGTTATTCAAGAGTATAGATAGTCCTTATTTAGCAACTTCCCCCTTTAATGACCAAAGTTACAATGCAACTTTTCAAAGATGAAAAAGTACCTTTGTGACCAATCCTTGTATTCACAACCTTCAGAAGTCTGCAAAGCAAAACAGCAGATCATAAGCACAGTCATGGCTACTCTTAGTGACCATTTGTTTAATGACCAAGTTATGAACCCCAGTTGTGGTTGCCAAATTAGGATTACGTACCCAAGGCCTGTGATGGCACAGTGGTTAGAATGCAGTATTGCAGACTATGCTGACAGCTGACTGAACGGCAGTTCGGCAGTTCGAATCCCACCAGGCTCAAGGTTGACTCAGCCTTCCATCCTTCCGAGGTGGGTAAAATGAGGACCCAGATTGTTGGGGGCAATAAGCTGACTATGTAAACCACTTAAAGAGGGCTGTGAAGCTCTGAAGTGGTATATAAGTCTAAGTGCTATTGCTATCTAGACTATAGAATTACTGGATCCAGGAATAAAGCTGATAAATACCATAAGGGACAACTTTTGCATTCACCCCACACACCAACCTTAATTCAAGAAGCAGCATTGTATGCCATAGCGCTTCTCTTTTGTTCAAATCCATCTCCACCATGACGCTTAAGCACTCAGATCAGCCAGTCCAAAGCAGCAGGATGAAGAAAGCCAAGCTTCCATAGCAAGGGGCGAAGAGTGAAATGAAACAAAGCAAGTGATTGGATGAATTTGCAGACTTTTTAGCTCAAGCAAAAGTTTTGATATTCTTGGCATATGGTCTATTAGTCAGAGAAGGCCAGATAACTCTCTGCCAGAGAAGGTATGGGAGTTCGATCAATTTGGGCTAGTTGTTCTACATAAGGTGGCAAACCCCGTTCCCTGGGATATAGAGCAACAAGCACGGGTGGTATGTTGTTAGAGAATCGGTGACCACTTTCATTTTGCAAGTAACTGGAGGAAATGGATGATGAATAGATAGCATAATGTTTTGGTACAGAAGGAACACAATGTCTGCACTGCCCTGCAGAGTCTAAATCCTTTGCGTTGAGGGAATAAACAATGCAGTTCTCAGGCATCAGTTGGTGCTCAGATAGATCAATTGCCTCCTGCACAGGAGCTTTGGAAAGTACAGCCCAGCTACCTAGCAAAGGCTTGGTCCTACTTGCTTCTGTTTTAGCTGAGAGCCACAAAGGGTGGGAATGGACACATGATTCAAGACTGACAGTGTTTTGGTTTTCTTGGCAGCAGACTGGAGAGTTTTTGTTCATGAGATGTGGGCATAAGTTCTCATCACTGGTGGAAAAGTTCTGGTTCTCTAGGAGACACCGCATGTAACTCTGATTGCAAGGACAAGGCAGCCTTTGGTGAGATCTTACCGAGTGGACTATATAATTGCAAGGCAATCCTCTATTAAGGTCATGAGGAGATAAATTGTGGATCCCGTGGGAGAAATGGCAAGAGGTATCTGAAAAGGGCGGTGTTAAAGGTGGCGCACAGTAACAGCTCACGTTCATTTTTCTGGGCTTCTGAGTAGTAAATCATCTGGCATCGATGTTTGACCTGTGTGGCAGGGAGAGAAAATGGGAATCATTCAGAAAGACCTTGGGTTTTGCTACTTTACTAAAGCAAACAGTGTTTCTACAGAGCTGTGAAATTCTATCTAGGTTGACATACCCAAATTTATTAGTGTTTACTAGTAACACATGTTCTGCATTCTATACATTCGTTTTCAGTTTTACAGACTGAATGAAGGGAAAGATTTGGTCAAGTTAACTGCACTTTTGAACCAATGATGTCTAATAGAAGATCCCATCTGCTACTATAGCACACCGCTTCTTGTAAATATGCCAATGCATCAACTACACTAAATGTAAAATTGTACCGAAATTTGCCCTCCAGATAGATAGCAGATGTATATTTTATTTGTATTATGGATGTGTACCTGTACAATTTAGAAAATTACTGCTTAGTGCCTTAAAATATATATTTGAAAAAGGAACAGAGAAATAGCAACCGAGTATAACAATTAGAATAATAGGGAGCAAAACAGAGATGGTATTCAGCAGGGTCTGAACAATTCTGGAGAACCAGTAGCGGAAATTTTGAGTAGTTCGGAGAACCAGCAAATGCCACCTCTGACTGGCCCCGCCCCCATCTATTCTCTGCCTCCCGAGCCCCAGATGATTGGCTGGTTCTTCTTTGGTTGCCCTGCACAGGAGAACGGAGCTGGAAAGCAGGTTAGTGGGGTGTGGAGGGAATGGAGATTTTGCAGTATCCTTCCCCTGGAGTGGGATGAGAATGGGCATTTTTCATGCCCATTCCCTGCCGTGCCCACCAAGCCACGCCCACTAAGCCACACCACGCCCACAGAGCCAGTAGTACAAAAATTTGAATCCCACCACTGGAGCAAAAGCAGCTATTGTCAGGGCAACAGCTTGTTATAGCATACAGGAAAACAAGCAGACACAATTTGAGTTGCCTCAATGATAGTCCACATTGATTAAAGATACTCCTGTGTCAACTGAGCAAAGAGCAACCATTCAAAATCTAATCTTGGATAAACATGTAAATCTGATGTTATGGAGTGTATTAGAGAAGATGAGAAAAATATCTACTATCTTGACCAAGCCATGCTCTTTGTGCAGCGATGGCTGGGAGGGGTCCAATATGATTTAAGAACTCGAACTAGAGTTTCTATTTCACAGATTTCTAGTTTGAAATGTTTGCTTATGGAAACGAGTGTTTGTGACAGAGAAGAAATATGGAAATTTCTGGGATGTTGCAGGGAAATTCTCCTGATTTCTGATTTTGGAAGATGGATGATTACAACTTGCCTGGAGTTACTTAGCATTTCATTGCTCCCCAGCGTGGAGAAATCTGTTCCAATGGATATTTGGCTCCACTAATTCTAGCAGATCATCCAACTGAATGGCATTAAATAACCTAGATGTGGAGGCCTTTTCTATATTTCTGGGATTAAGGTCATGCCAGTATCAG